CTGGCAATGGGCCTCGAAGCGACCGAGTACGCGCCGCAGACATTTGCCGAGTTTCATACCAACAAGCTCGCGTGCCGCCCCGTCGAGTGGTCTTTCAGCGCGCTCTACTGAGGCTGCTCTTCTTTGCCAGCAATGTGCACGTGTGAGCGTCTGTCCTGTATGCCTTGCGTCAAGTCCTCTTGCCTAAATTAACAACGCAACTATTTATTCGTCCTCGTCGTTTCGCCCGTGTTGACTGTGCATAAAAGCTAGCGAGCATGTCGCTGGTGTCATTGACTTCGTGGGTCCCTTGCTGCCTTCTGTGGTACTCGCGTACTGTGTACATTGCGGCGACGTGGCGTGGAAAGGGCACGTAAAAATGGACGGCTCGTACACGTTTGGCTCACCGAGAGATGGACCGACACATTGACGCATCGTCACAAATGACGGCATTCCTCATAACCCTTTTAAAGACGGCACCCACGGGTCCACGTGAACCATGTTTATTATGCTAGTCCACAGTGGATTGTACTACCACGGATGGCTCGGTTTGGAGAAAGCGTCGTGGCCAGCGAAGTCCTGACCTTTGACGGCTCCTTTGACGTACTCTCGAATAGGTATTTTATAAGCATACAGCGCGCTCAAGTCAGCGACGGAATGATCCGAACAGTCATACAGTAAGCGCCCAGGTGAGCACGATACCCATTGATGGGCGCGATGGGCGGTTTTGGATGTGACTGCGTTGGTACCACATACTGTCGGCTCTGAGAGCGCTGCATCAAGTCGGCCCTACTGCGGCTTCAAGCAACACATACCGACACAAGCTCTGTTACGTCATACTGCACTATACGTAGCAAAAAGAAAAGGTACACGTCACGACGCCAAGTGAGGTCATTGCTGGACACGGAAAACGTCGCAGGCGCTGCCACGTCAGATTTTTGAAGCCCTACCCCTGCTAAAAGCTGAAAATCACAATTTTGGGCACATGGAAGAGAAGAGCGAACTGGTCCCAGCCATATCGGATTACACGTACATAGTGCTTTCGAAGCAGCTCAAGCGTTTGGTCTGAGAACCTCGTTTGCAGCTTTTGTTTGCACTGCAAACAGTACCGGTAGCGGTATTGTGACGTTGCGCTTCAATTCACTAGACGGTTCAAAAGACACTTCAACCCATAGGGCTCTACACCTGGGGTACACTGCATCGGGATTATATAGGTGGCGCTTGGTTCGGTGTCACAGTGCGGGCTTGGGAACTTGCCCCGAACTGTCCACAAAAAGTGCCTCGCTGCGCCGAGCTCGGTGAAGTGCGTAATGCCAGTCTCGGCGCGACGTTTGCATAGTCTTCCGTCGTCTTGTGTGTGTGTGGCCGTGACTCATGCTTGGACGATCTTGGGACACCAGTTTTAGAGAGCGAGCGACACTGGCGAAACTCCGCACGCCCGTGTTGTCATACCGGTATCGCCAACATATCCCGAGATTCTGTAGACCGTACTCTCGCCAACTCGTACGACTATACTGGACGAATCGTCCATCGGGCAGCACAAAGAACGAGCTATCGAGCGTGTACTGTTGACAACACTACAGCAGCTACACTCGAGCGTTGGACTGAACAGCCTCGCGGTTTTGCAACCGCTTGCTCATGAAAAAGATACCACGAGCAAAGCTGCCATTGCGGCTTTGCGTTCAGCAGCGCTGTCGCCCATGAGTAATCTAGCTTCTTATGGCAGCGTCTCCGAGCGGCAAGGTGGCGGCGCCCAAATGGTGTGCGCGGGTTTCGTAACGGCGAGCCAGGGCGATGTGTTGACAAGGTGAGGGCGTCAAATGCATACAGTAGCAGGTCCACGTCAACTGGATAGCTTGATGTTTGTATTGGCTGGCGTGTTTCACCTTGTCGCGCACAAGTACTCTGTAAAAAATCCATGCGTTTCAATCGCCAAGCTAGAACAAGGTGGCGAACGGCGGCCTTCTTTTCGTGCCAGGTGGCGGTGCTATTTCTTGAGTCGCTGAGGCTGCCACGTGTATACACATTTTTAGCCCGCCACGTGGTTTACGGAGCCTGTTTCAGAGAGGCCACCTCCCAACGCACTTCTCAATTTCGCTCATCACCAGCACCGTCGACACAACATGCTCGCCTTTTTCAACGCGCTCGTGAAGAACCTCGTGCCGTCGACGTCGGACGCGCCGGTGATGCTGATCGACGTTGAAGAAGTCGCTGCCTGCCCCGCCTCGTACGAGGCCATGAAGGCGCCGACCTGGGACGACAAGCGCCAGACGTGCGCCAACTGCAAGCACGTCTTTCTCAAGGCGCTCAGCCCCGCTGAAAACTACTGCTCGGTCGACTGCAAGTCGAACGCAGTGTACCTCGAGGGCATCCAGCGCGCAATCCAGGCAATGAAGAACGCCGTGGCGTCGACCGACGAGCCGGTCAAGGCCCCCGTCGACGTTGTCGCGCCCCTGCACGAGATGCAGCTCCGCCCGGTCGCGCTCGGCGAAGCCCACACCTTTGCTGAGTACCATACCGAGAAGCTCGCGGGCAAGAACGTTGAATGGTCCTTCAGCGCCTTGTACTAAAACTCGCGCAGACACACACGCACCTAACTTATCCGCCAACACGCCACTTATTTATCATGGAAACAGTCTTGCACGTTGGCTCTATCGGGTTCCTTGACGAATCCTTCTACACTCGGCAGCAGCAAGGTGTCTCTATTGAGTTTATACTTTGCAAAAGGGACAATGCGTTGAAGCCACGTACGGCTCTGTTTACGCGCGACGATTGACTAGTACTACATGACCAGTGTTGGACTTGGTATGTACCCGCATCGATGTCGTGAACAACATACGTAGTGCTGCTTTGGCCAGTTCCGAGTCGATGCAAGCAGCTCGACATATTCGCATCTGGCTCTCCTCATCGCCGCTCTAGAGCTACTAGGACTCGCGAGACCAACGATGATGCAGCGTCTTTGGTCTCGCGCAGCTTCGGTGCAGCGTCGGGTGCTTGCATACACTGTGATCTTGCATAGAAAGGCCGCCAACGTACGGTCGCCGGGTGCCTGCCTGTCTATGAAAGCTTTGGTCTCGCAAGTGGTACTAGGAAATCCATTGCTTGAAGCAGCGCGGACCGATGGAGGTCGACTCAGAATTCCAAGCAGAGACTCAGTGGATTACGACACCACGGTGGTCGAGTAAGACCGCCATAAGTTGGGCTGCCGTACGCGGCAATCGTAACATTATTCAGCCAACGCAGTGCTTGTCGTCGAGAATCTGAGCCCACGCATATACAATATCCATGTGCATCATGTCGAAGGCATCACAGTCGCGTCATTTGTGTTGGCTGGGTCGTCGTCCGTCAGCCCAAGGGTACGAGCGCACCTGCGACACCGCCCACTGGACGTTTCCGGCGCCAAGCAACAGCTGGTGCAACGGACGGACACGGCGCTTTGACCGCACATGGGTACCCGGCTGGGGCTCTTTGAGTTGTACCGGCTTGTCGCGCTGTTTCGTATACCGTCCACATGCATGGCCCGGCTCGTCCTCGTGTCCTCGGCAACCGGCGTGAAGGAAACTTCGTCCTCGCCTGCTGCGGATGTGTAATACGCCCATGATTATAGTACACGCCACAAGCGCGGAGAACAAATAAGCGGTTGTGCTGACGGCGGCTCTATTATTCCCGTTGCAGATTGGCCTCCATCACTCTCCATCACGTCGATGGGCGGTGAGGGGGCGCCCCAGGTCAGTTGGTAAAGTTTCTGCTTCGCATCCCGAAGGTCGCCGGTTCGAGCCCGGCTGCGCGCGCGCATTTTTCCGTCTCCGCCCCCTCCTCTCTGCGTCGCGCGATGTATCCGAACAGGGCCGAAACCAGATGGGTCGTCAAGGCCACCTCCGCAAGTGTCACCCAGAACACATGATGACGAAAGCTGCTACTCCAACAACAGACCTAGATGAGACAATTTCTTCCAGCGAGCTCTGCTCATTAAATTAAATTGACCCATTTCAACAACGTCGATGGGCGGTGCGAGACGCCCAGATGGGTACAAACCCAGCACACACGCTGACTTCGGTAGGCAATTGGGGCTCTCCTGGCCGCAAGCTGGACTCGAGACGCTGTGCGGGTGCCAGCAGGTCCTGGTGGAATTGCCCAAAACCAATACCTTCGGTCGGTTGCACCGAGATCTGAGAAATGCCACCGTAAAACCCCGAAACATGCTGTGTACGCAGAACAGTGCACGCGCGTTCGAGTTTCGAGGGCGTAGCCGGTCAACTCTCACTTGCCAATCTGCGCCGTCCAAGTAACGTGTTCATTGTCATGGTTGTCAAGTCGGTGGCGTCCTGGGACGAGAAGCGCGCGGTGTGCGGCAACTGCAAGCACATTTTCCTCAAAGCCCAGAGCCGCATCGCGGGCTACTGCTCTGTCGACTGCCACGCCAATGCCACGTACCTCGACACGGTGCAGCAGCGCATTCGAGCCATGCGACTTGCCGCCTACGAGCCAACACCCGCCGAGCCGGTGGTGGCAGCGGCCCCGGTCACGATGGACGGCTTGAACAGCACGTTTGCTGAATTTCACACGGCAAAGCTGTCGCCTGGGCACGCCGTCGAGTGGTCGTTTAGCGCTATGTACTAGATGTCATTTTGTAGTTTGGATTGATAGATTTCATTATTTAATGTATTTACTTGTATGGTTGCAAGAGAAATTGCCCATGAGGACCCTCGCCTCCCACTGTCGCGGTCCAATGCAGCTTCATGCGGAATTGACCAACTGCTTGCTTGTAGATGGAATTTACACTCAAGATCAATAGCGCGATTCGGTACACTCGGACTAGAGTCCTCGTCCAAAGGCAGCCTTCGCGTCTTGCGGTTTGTATTGCATACTGGAATGCTGTGAACGGATCAAGAAGATCTAACCGCGAAAGGGTGCAACGCGCTCTCGAACAAGAGAAGCGACGCGGTATCTTCCGTGCGCACTTCACGAAGCGATGCTGCCCTCCGCGCTGCCGTCGCGCTTGTTCAAGTCCATCAACTCATGGAAAGGCCGTCGTAGCGAATACGAGTCGGTGCATACGCTCGATGAACTGCCGGTTGCCGAGGCACCGACGCAGGTGCTCACGTGCCACCTGGCCCCACGCCCCACGTCGAGCCCGCGCACCGAGGCGTCGTCACCGGTGCGTAGGCCGCCTTTTGCCCCATGCATGACGCGTCATCAACGAGATAGATGTCGTACGATGTCTTGCTCCACAAGGACGAGCACGGGCTCGGCTTGTGCCTCGCGGTCGACGACGCCCATCGACTCGTCGTCGCGTCGTTTCGGCGACTGCACGCCAACGATGTCGGGCCCGCCGAGGCGTGCAACCAGATCCACCAAGGCGATTTCCTCTGCGAAATCAACGGCGACGAAGTGTTTACGCTGCCCCACGTCCACCGGCTATTGGTCGCGCTGCGGTCCGAGGCCTTTGTGCTCTTGCGCTTCCGGCGCGGCTCGCCCATGACGCCGCTCCTCGTTGACGCCAACAGTGCGGCTGAAACGACGTCCCCGCGGGCCGTGCCGACGCAACGCGAGCGCCAGCTCTCCCACCTTGTGCACGATCTCGCGCTTAAGAACCAGCTCCTCCATAGCCAGCTCGCGGAACTCCACGGAAAACTCTTGCAAAAGAGCCGGGAGCTTGAAAGCACCGAGCAGCAGCTCCAGGAAGCGAAGGTTGAAGCAACGCGAAGCAGCCGTCTCTGGCCGGCCAAAGGCAGCGGGCAGAGCGCCAAGCTCGAGTTGGACACGCTTTTAATCGAGTGCAAATCCCAGCTCAAGCGAGAGTGCGAAGAACAAATGCAGCATGAGCGCGCTCAGCTGCGCGCGACCCATCGGCGCGAGCTGGAGCGTCACGAAGCCGCGAGCACGAAGAAGCTCCGGATGCTCGAAGAGGCCCTTGGATTTTTGATCGACCAGGTGGACGCGCGCCCCCTGGACGAAATGCCGCCGGTTTCGGACGAGGCGGTCAAGCTCCAAGACATTCGCGGGATCCTTGCAAGCTACGCGGCACGACGACAACAGATCGACCGCCTCGTGCAGGAGACAGCACCTTCCGTCACGAGTGCATAATAATTTGATCGATCAACATGACAACGATTCAGTGGACTATTTATGGGTCGAACATCCGAAGGCTCTAGCTACGAATGAGTGCAACCTACATGTATGTACGTACAGTGGCATCAACAGCCCACGTTGTGCATTGGAATGGAGATGAGGACACGTCGTCGATGGCGGTTGCTCTATCGCCAACTGATGGCAGATCTGGCATCTCGGCCAACGAGGAGTGAGATGACCGCTGCACCTCTCTCGACGCTGCGGAGAAATCGGCGTTGGGTTGCTTTCGGTTTCCCGCCACTCGCTCGTGTCGGCCACAACACCGGAGAACGGGCGCATTTTTCCCAAGAAGGTTGATTCGAAGCCGCGAAGCGTCGCTCACGGCCACCAAGGTTGCTGCTGCATTCGAACGTGAGCTGCGGTACGACCCGCGAGCTTTTCTTTGATCACCGTTTGTTAACGCGGGACGACGCAGTGCAATTACCGGCTTGTGATCATGCTGGTCGTCCACCGACTAATCATCGATTCGGTTGCCCTTCGTGCGAGCCAATCACAACGAAACAGGATCATGACCTCACCTCGATCCTCAGTCGACAAACGCGAGTTTGAAATGTGGGAAATAGCATGCGATTATCGCGGATAAATACGACGTCAATGCCAACAGCTTCCTTACGAGAGGAGGAGGCCTTCCAACGCATGGACGACGTCGTCACTGGTCATGCGCTGGGTGGGCGCCACAAGCAGCATCTTGAGCAGCACATCGCTGATCGCAGGCGTCATGAAACCCTTCTTTTGGCAAATACGCAATACGGGCTGCAACCCTTGGCGGTGCACAGCCCGGAAGAGCTTGTCGGATCTGGCCGCCACCGAGAAGAGGGGCACGCCGGTTAACATAATGAAGAGCACGATGCCAAGCGACCACACGTCGGCAGCCTTCGGATCGTACGCCGCGTGGCCTGTCGCGACTTCGGGGGCCATGTACATGAGCTTGCCGGCGGTGCCTCGCACGGTCGTGAGCTCGGTGCTTAGGCCAAAGTCGCCGAGCTTGCACTTGCCATCGTGAAGAAACACGTTTTCGAGCGAGACATCGCGGTGCGCGATCCCGTGCTTGTGGAGACAGGCGAGGCCTTTGGCGACGTCAAGCCCAAGTGCAATCGCATCGAGTGGGCTAAACCGCTGCTGTCGCTGGAGGCGTGCGAGCAGGTCGCCGCCGTTGCAGTACTCGAGCACGATGTGGGCATTGCCATCGGCGACAAAGGTATCGAGCATCGTCACGAGGTGGTCATGGGCGCCGAGGATGGCATGCGTCGCGATCTCTTGCGCCAAGTCGTCCGTCGTCGCCCGGCGCGGGTGCGTCTTGATGACGACGTGTGTGTTGGTGCGCGTGTCGAGGCTGAGCTGGACGCGCGACTGGGCGAGCACCTCGAGGTCATGGCCGCCGCCGTAGCGCTCCTTGGTCATTCTGCTGTGCGGGCCAATTTGAAAATGCCAGTTGGCCCGAAAACGGTATCTTGCAGGTTACGATCCGTAATCGAAGCGCTCGTGACGTCAGGGAACTTAACACAGTGAGACCTTTACGAGACTGACGTGCCGGGTTCGAATCGCACGGGATGTGTCGAGGGCGCACTAGACATGTACTACTACCGATCCCTTGCCTTGCACGACCGGTAGCATTCTTTTACTTGTGCGATGTAGCGACCCGCTCGTTGCAATCGAAGCAGGTGCTCTCACCAACCGTACAACTTGAACCATATATATCGCACGCTCATGCTGCTACTAAGAAATTATGACAGCGATGAGGCGAGACACCGTATCCAAGCGCAAGAAGGGACATGCGATAGCAGATCCGTGGGCAGTGCCACGGGGCTGATAGCTGTGCACGCCCCCGAGACGACGACATGAGTCCGTTGGAAAATTAATGCCAAAAAGCCATACCTAGGATGCAAGTGGTTAGTTGCCCGATCGGAGGACGGTTTCATGGAAGCCTTCAAGGACCCTCGAACCAGTCGACGCACCGAGTCGCAACGCAGTCGAAGCTTACGATCCGAAAGGCTCGCAAGCGTACCGTACAGTATCTGAAATTATGGACTGACGTATGTGCTCTCGGCTTCGGAGAAAAAGGCAATTTCTTCCGACGTGCTTGGCGGGATGTGAATTGTGCTTCGATTTTAGTCGATCCATGAGTCAGCAAGCCATCGACTCGCTGCAAATATGTTTACGCGAGGCCCCTTCAGAAACCGCCGCGAACTGTGCGTAAGGCGAGTTGACGCTCACGGTTTCGCGCCATGTATTTTGGGGCGTGTCGGCGCTTTCCGATTGCAAGGCCCAGTCCTCCATCCCGCGAGTCCGACGCCGTGGTTTGATCAGAATAGCGTCTCGGTCAATTCACTGGGAAGCACGGCAAAAGCAGCGCATCAACAATCCACCAGGGCTGGTCGGTCTACAAGTAGCCCTCGTGACGCGCGGGTGATCACACGAAGCGTCTAAAATGGGAGCATTTGAACAGACCATTGAACTTTTTACGCTCAAACGTAGGGATCCAGCGACAGTATCCTTAGTTTTGCTTTGATTCCGTGACGCAGCAAAGAAGTCCGAGGTCCAATCTGCTCGCATGGGATCGCTACTTGAGTAATTACATGTACCACATGATGTACCCACCAAAAGCCATCAATGGACACGATCGACGTGGGTATAATCTGTCCAAAAGCCACCTGCCCTGCGGTTGGGGTACCGAAAACAATATTGCGTGCTGTGCAGTACGATTCGGTCGTGAGCCTTGGCGTGCTGTGCAGTACGATTCGGTCGTGAGCCTTGGCGGTGGACATGGCGGCTCTCGGACGCGCAGACGGTATTATGACAACAACAACAACCGAATGAGGGTAGCACGAAGGCCACATCGATTCGAATGCCTCGCGTCCCCTGGTGTTTTGTGCATCGAAGAGGCTTGGTCACGCAGCCGTCGTGTGCAATCGCAATCCGTGCAGACCGCGCGGTTGACACACGACCAAAATGCCACCTGTCTTGCCTTTGAAAAATCCAAAAAGGCGTAGAGGCATGCAGCGCCGCAGTTTCCATTCCGCCGCCTCGCACCAAGATGCCGATCAAGCCGACGAGAGACGCGACGACCGAGGCGCCGTATGTGATTGTCATCCCGTCGCCCAACGCCGTCGGCGTGACGGCGCTCACGACGGGCCACTGGGCGACGGGGATCTGCGACTGCTACAAGAGCCTCCTTCCGAACGCCTGCATGGCCTGCTGGTGCCCGTGCGTGAGCTTGGCGCAGACTACCCACCGCATCGGTCTCTCGGCATCGTACCTCGCGACTGTGCTTGTGTTTGCGTTCTTGTATCTCTTTGCGACGGGTCCGATCTTCCTGCCCGTGTACTGGGACCGCTGGTCGCACTGGAACAACGGCTGCCTCGTCTTTAGCTTGATTGTCGTGCTCATGCTCATGCTCCTCCGGGGCCGCGTCCGCGTCATGCTCCGCATCCCGGGCAACGTCGTGGAGGACTGTTGCTGCGCCATCTTTTGCCACTGCTGCGCGCTTGCCCAGTTGGCGACGCAGGTCGATGCGTACGACGCCAACACGTGCCAATTCAGGGCCAAAGGCACCTTGCCCGCCTTTGCGCTCTCGTAGCTCTGCGCCACTATTTAAGAAGTCTCCAACTTGCTTTTTGTTTTGTTTTGTTGGACACTACGGTGTGCGCTCCTGTCGTAGCATCGCTGGTGGCAGGCTATGGAGGCCGCATGGTAGACAGTCCATTTCAAGAGTTACGCGGCGGTATCTTTGTTAGCGTGAGTAGAAATGCAGAGTATCATAGCAGCGCGGGCAGCTAAACGTGACGCGTAGACACGTCGTACTTGGTATGGATGAATAAACATTCCAGAGGGTCGATAACACCCTGCTCACACCCTAACGTCGATGGAGCTTCCTTGCTCACGTCACCCATGTCTTTGATGCAGATTCTACACGGTCAGTTCGCGGTGCCACTATGGCCTCTGTCGCCGTGATCATCACGTCTCGCTTCGGGACACTTACCGCCGCAACGCTCGTCGCTCGTGGTCCTGCAGTCCTACCCTGGTTGATACTTTTGTTGTACTTGACATAAATTCTCTATTGTATCGTGGCGAGATCTAGGACGCCGTTGTGTGTTGTTTGATGCTGTGTGCGAGCTCGAGCGCCGACGGTCGATCGTCCGGGTTCGGCGCGATGCAGCGCAGCGCCAGTGTTTTGAGCCACAAAGGACAGTCGGGCCGGAAGCTCGGCGAGATCGTGCCTTGGATAACCATGCCCATGATAGCCGTGTCGACGAGCGGTTTTCCCTTCGCGCTCGTGAGGTCGGCGTACGGGATGTGGTGCGTATCGAGCTCGGAGAGGATCATGCCGAACGAGTAAATGTCGACGGCGACCGTGTACAGGTTTTCCTTGAGGATCTCGGGCGCCATCCAGCGGTACGTGCCGACGCCGATCGTCATCGTCTCCTGCGTGTCTTCGCGCGAGATGCCAAAGTCCGTGAGTTTGGTTCCCTTGACCGAGTCGAGGAGCACATTGCGGGACTTGAGGTCGCGGTGGATGATCTGCATCGAGTGGAGGTACGCGAGGCCCTCGGCGATGCTCTGGGCGACGCGTAGCTTGGCCGTCCACGCGTAGTTGGCCGGCGTCGTCTCGGCCAAGTGGTCTTTCAAGTCGCCCATGTTCATGTACTCGAGCACGCACTGGAGGCTCGACGGTCGCGTCCACGCAACGCCGATAAGCTCGACCACGTACATGCATCGAAAGCTACGATACGAACACCACGGTGTTAGGATTCCGCGCCGTTCAGAAGACAGCAAACATCGTACCTGCCCATGAGGTTGATTTCGTCAATGAAGCTTTGAATGTCGGCCCGCGTGTTCTTTGTGGGCAAAAGCGTCTTGACGGCGACGACTTGGTTGCGGTACGTGCCCAGCGCCACTTGGCCGTACGCGCCGGATGCGATCACCGAGGTCGTGACCACGTCGTCGGCGTCGATGCGCAGCACGTCGAGCTCACCCCATCGCAGCCCGAGAGTCGCGGACGGAGACGACGCGCCTGTGTTGGCGCGATTCGACGGTTGGTGGCTCGGACTCGTCAAGAAAGCCTCCTTGAAAGTCCGCTCGCGCTGCTTGTTGCGCTTGAGGATGACGTAAAAGACGACGAACGCCACCGCCGCCGTGCACCCGACCGAGACGCCGACGATGAGCTCAATGTTGTCGGCACTATTGTCGATGATGACGACGTTAGCACCCGCTGCATCTTCATTCACGACGGTCGGCAACGGCATCAGAGGCGGCGGCCACTGCGGCCGCCCCATGCCTGCAGGCTGGATCAGCAGCGCAGACACCTCGTCGGTCCAGTTGCCCATGTCGGGCATGTCGGTTGACCAAATAGCGCTCGCGCCGGCGAAGCCATCATGCTCGTAGCCAACGACCTCGATGCCGCTCGGGATGCGCAGGGAGGCAAAGCCGACGGCCCAGTCGTTGTGGAGGTTGCCCGACCAGGCGATCGGAATGGTGAGCGTCGCGCCCGTGTAGTTCAGCCCGCGGTAGAGACTGACCTGGGCCGCGGACGCGACGGCGGCGACGGCGAAGCTGCGCAGCACCACCCGACCAAGCATCTCGCGAATGGCATGCCTCCGGCAAGGGCCGCGGCGACACCCCGTGTGACACTGACGCGCTGGTTACTTCGATCGAAGTTTGCGTCCCAATTGACAACAATAGCTTGGTGTTTGTATGCAGATCTGGCTTCGAAGTATGGCCGGAACGCCATGTAACGGTGACACCTGTTATAACGCGGCCACGCGCCGTGTTATCAGAGTGTTGCGACCTTTTAGCGAATCGGTATGGGTATCACATGGGTACGGTGTCCTTTCCATGCGATAGTACGACAATATTGGCGCCATGGCGAAACTATTTAAACTCTACTGCTATTACGGCTACCGCTACGACTACTACCATGGTCGCATGGATGCTCAGTTGAGGTGCGTGGTCAAGGTATGTGAGACCTGCATCATGGTGGGGCGACGTTCCGGGTCATGCACCAAGCCCTGCAGCGCGAGGTCGCGAAACCAAATGGGGCACTCGGGTGTGAACGTCGGTCGGATCTCGTCGTCGATGACCATGCTCATGATCGCCGTCTCCACGAGCCCTTGGCCGCGGTCGTTGATGCGGTCCCCGTACGGCACAAGGTGCGTGTCGAGCTCCGAGAGAATGATCCCGAACGCGTAGACGTCGGTGGCGACCGTGTACTGGTTGTACTGGAGGATCTCGGGCGTCATCGTCTCGGTCGTCGCCTCGCGCGAGCTGCCGAAATCCGTGAGTTTGGTACCTTTCGCTGAGTCGAGGAGCACATTGCGGGACTTGAGGTCGCGGTGGATGACCTTCATCGAGTGGAGGTACACGAGGCCTTCAGCGGTGTTGCGTGCGCCGACGGCGTCTTGGCCCAAAAATCCTTATGTCGCCGAGGTCCATGTACTCGAGGACGCACTGGAGGTTCGTGGCGCGCGTCCACGCAGCGCCGACCAGCGAGACAATATACGGCGAGTCCAGCCTATCGTGTGGGAATTGGCCCAGCGCGATCGGATAGTAGTCTACCGTCCGAGGAGGTTGATTTCGTCGATGACGTTTTGAATCCAGACGCGTTTGCTGTGGCCGGTCAACAGCGTCTTGATGGCCACGGGCTTGCCGTCGTACTCGCCGAAGAAGATCTCGCCGTACGCCCCGGACGCCATTTTGCGCGTCGTCACAACGTCCGCTGCCGCGATGCGGAGAAGGTCCAAGTCGCCATAGTCGAGCGTCGCACTGCTCATGGTCGCGAGCGCACTGCCGCTGTGGTTTAGACTCTCGCCCGCTTGCGTCGGTAGGCGGCGCGCCGAGTGGAGACGCTGCTGCGCCGTGATGACGAGGTCCTCCTTGAACGCGGTTTCTTGCCGCCGGCGATAGCGCGCAAACCAGCAATAGCCTATCGCCGCAAGGAGCGCCGTTCCTGCGACTGAGAGACCAACCACGACGCCCGTGCTCAGCGCTGGCGCGCGTCGTTGAGCTGACGGCGGCGGCGTTGAGCGAAGACAAGCGGCGCGGATAGCAGCACGAGCTGGAGGAACGTCATAGCGCGTAGGTGGCTGGCAACACTAGTACGGAAATGCTACGACTACACCGTGGGCAGCAGAGCGACGTAGTAGTAATGCGTTTGTGGTCAACGGAAGTGAAGCGATGGCGCCTGTCTAACAACGTGGCGCCACGACTGTTGCCGATCAGCTATTATGAGAACGTAGGGAGAAAGTGGTTTGGCCGCGCCCTTCCAAGCGAGATAACGACACGGTGTTCGAGTACAATAAACATTCTTTAATGCAAGGCGACAACCCTACGCTCGGTCGCTCTTGGCGCTGTCGTAGTATCGGCTCGAGTCGTGCGACGGCATGCAGACAGGTAGTTTCTCAACGTCGTAGCGGTACATTTCTGGAGTTGTTTGACTGCACGTGGTCGGTGCTACGAGTTTTGACGCAACCTCTGCATCTCCAAGGTGCCAACACGACGCGTCGGCTCGAGAAAGAAAGCACTCGGTAACGTCTGCGTGCGCTGGAACAGCTTGTCAACGATCGTAATGATGAGTATGTAAACCCCAAATAAACCCCACGACCTCACGTGGCGAGACACAGACCTACTATGTCGGCGAGAGAACGAAAGGATCCCCATCGATTCAAATCGATAATGCACTCTGCTTCGCGCAGGAACCTGGTGATCCGGATCCGGATAAAGATACACATGACGATCTTTGTAAGCCAAGTGTGCGCGCGAAATGGTGTGTACGTTGATACATCTTGAGGCTGGATGAAGGCAACCCCCGATACACGCGCCATTCGCCTATTCAACTTGGCACTAAATTGATGACCTGGAGCACACTATTTGAAGTCGTCAAGAGACCTCTCCGCTGTACAGCGTACACTCGTCTGTTTTTTCATGCACCAACTGTCCTACCGGTACTACATTATTGTCCGAGAAGATGCATAAAGCAAGAACGCCATGTCGCAAAAGACAATATGTACATGAATGAATTACCTATGAGTCACCTGCTTCGTTGGTCGCGGGGTCTCGGAACCAAGTCGCTCGCATTGCGGTGCCCGCGAGACTTCCAATGACACTCACAGCGACCTTGTTGCCGCTCGTGTCGTGCACAAACGCAGACGCATGCTGGAGCTCGCTCGGCGCAAAAAACTCGTCAACGCCGTGGAAGCGCGAGTCGCCGTGCGCCAACAGCCGCGTCATCTTGCTTGGCGCGCGATCGGGTACATGCGACGAGTACGGTGTCTTGTAGGCCTTGTACCAGGCGGCACACGTCTCGTAGTAGTCGTTAATCGCTTCGTCTGGCGTCCTTGCTTCGTGGCGATACGGCGGTCGCACGCGCTTGCACAACGTACGTGAGTAGATCGCATAGCTGTCGAGCGACAACCGATGCACGCGCCAGACGAGCTCCACGTCGACTGTCGGCGAAAGATGCGGCCTTCGGAGCGCCATAAAGTGCTCGTAGCGGCGAATGGCCGCGGTAACGACCACCGGGTGCGTCCAATACTCAAAATGCACGTCGATGGCCTCAATGAACGCTACATCGCGCGCCATTGCCTGCACGAGGTCGACCGGAAACGCGCCGAGTGCGTGCGTCTGGATCATGCGCCGCGCCGCCAGCCAGGAATTGCGGAGGCTCATGGCTTCAAACGTCTTGAGCGTCACCTGCTTGGCACGGATGAGCGCGTCCATTTCGCGATCAAACGAGGACCAGCGGCCGTCGCGAGGTAGCGACCTCGGCGTGCGCACGTAGCTGATGTAGGAGCCCATCGCGGTGAGCTGGCTGTCGTACTGCAGCAGCGGGTACTCCTGGAGAAAGAGGGCGATCTGGTACGTTTCGTAGGCTACCGTGCTGCCGCAGCCAGCGCAACGGATCGCGTCACCGAGGAGGTGGATGCGGTACATGTCTTCGCGGGACCATCGTCGCCTGCAAGCGCGGTGGGGGCACTTGTTGAGAATGTCGCGGAGCGGCGTGTCAAAGGCGACAGTGTCGTAGCGGCTCTTGTAGTAGACACCTGGCGCGAGCGATTCGCGGCAGTTGAGGCAGTCGACCTTGTGCCGCTTGATGTAATGGTAGTGGACTTGGTGCGGCGCAAGTTCGGTTGCGCAGTAGCCGCAGACGCCGAGAAAGGCCTTGGACGTCGGATCCATACCTCCCGACCGAGTGCCGAGAGCGAAATGAAGCGTATCGAGCTGGTACACGAGGTGCGGGTACGAGTCCGTGGGCGCCGGATTGTCGCGATGGCGAGCAACGTAGTCGGCTTCCAGCGCCAGCAGGTGCTCGTACAAGGCCAGCGGGCTCGCACCGCCAGATGTGCTGGCCCGAATCGCGCGCAATCTGGCCACGTGTGCAATGACGTCGGCGACCTGGACCTGACTGCTTGCGACCGACGAAGGCAGTGCGCGCTGCTGGATGGAGCTCGCGACGCTCAAGAGCCGACTCCATGTGCTGGTTGCTGGTGGTGAGTATTCGGCGCAGGACGCTGCGTTGGAAAGCACCATCGCCAGCTTGGCTCGCAAGGACTCACTCGTCACTTCCAGGTGCAGCACTTGGCCGGACGCCAACTCGACGCGTAGGCGGTACCCATATATATCGACTGGCGTTGGCGCCAGTGGTGTCGCCGTTGCGCTCTTGACGTCGAACGCAGCGCGACAAACGGGGCCGTCGTGTAGCGAAAGGCGCTGTCCGTCCAGTGTCAGACACCGCGAGACCCAGCGGCCAAAGACGCCAGTCTTGACGCGCACGTCGACGGTGTAGCTCATGGCAGTTGACGCGTTGTTTAAAAGTGTGGTGTGTGTACGTTCGTCTATAGCCACCTGTCAGGACAGTCGCCCGCTTGGTGTCCTACGCCCTGACCATGGATACACCGGATATCGCATGTGATTGGTCAATTGCTTTGCACGTCAAAGAAATGCACCAATCGGTGGCGTAGGCGCTACTGCAATGTCCCGGAGCTGATGCACACCGGATGCTACCTACCAACTGACACGGCAACGTCTGAAGGAAACGCTGTGGAATCCCTCGTGGATACAGGCACAGCCACGCTGGCGTGCGAAGAATCCGTCTCCGTTGGCGTCTGAGCATGTTGACGGGATCGGTGTGACCATGGCGATCAGGTTCTAAACTCGCCGTGTCCTTCTTCATCTCACGTCAAGGATGCGGACCACGCAGCTGCTCGGGTCGCGAGGCTCGCGAAAGCTTGTTGCGCTAAACCGTCGGTATCGCACGGATCTGCGACTGCCCATTCCAGACGATCGTCTTCGTCCACATTCGACCACATTACACGTTCAATAAGGTTTACAACAGCTAATACTACCAGCTGCACTCACATCATGTCAAGCTGGGAGCGGACGACGGCGAGGATCGTGGCCGCCGACGGGCGCGCCTCCGGCTTGCGCGCAATGCAGAGCAGCGCTAAATCTTGGATCCAGTCGGGGCACATGCTTGTAAAGCGCGGCGACGTCGACTCTTCGGTGACGATGTGCTGGATCGTCTCGTTGGTCAGTGTCAAGTGGCGCGACGGCCGGCGGTGCGTGTCCAATTCGACGAGGACGCGGCCAAAGGCATAGACGTCGATCGCGGGCGACGACTGGCCGGCCGTGAGCATCTCGGGCGCGACCCACCAGACGCCGGGCGCGATGCCCGAGAGAATTTCGACCCGCGAGAGCCCGACGTTGGCGAGCTTGGCGCGCTTGGTCGAGTCGAGAATGATGTTTTTCGTATTGAACGCGCCGTGAATGACGCACCGGCTATGGAGATAGGCGAGTGCTGACGCCATGTCGAGGATGCACGACAGCTTGTCGTGCCACGCCAAGTTGTACATGTTGGACGCCATGAGCACGGTCCGCATCGAGCCGAGGTCCATGTGCTCCAAGACGCCGACAAGCGTGCTCCTGCTGCGCGCCACGAGCGGCTGTGACCACGCTGCGCCGAGCACGCCCAAAATGCACGGGTGCACGCAGGCGCTGGCGACGTTGAGTGTGTCGAGGAAGCACTGCATATGCGTCAGCGTCTGGCGCTTGGGCACGAGCGCTTTGACAAACACGGTCGCGCCGTCGTACGCGCCTTCCCAGACGTTGTAGTAGACGCCGGTCGCAAGCTGGCGCGTCGTTTGGACGTCGGCCGCGTCGAGGCGCTGGAGAAGGCCCCACTCGAGATTCTCGCTCACGTCGACATCGGCCGAGAGCTCGTAGTGGCTGGCATCGTCACACGTGCTGTCCACCAATGTCGACTTGGCGCGGTGACACCGCCTTTTGCTGCAGAGATACACGGTGGTCGCGAGGGCGAGAAGGATCAATGCGCCGGCGACGGAACCGACGACGATGGGCACCGTGTCGGACGACTCATCGGCGGCGGCGGCGGCCCGCAGGAGGGCCCGGGGCACGACGCGCGACACCATGCGAATTGAAATCTAGCAAGAGCTTGAAGTGGTCAGCCGTGACAGTACACGGCGCGGCAGCTTGCGACGGCGAGGGCCAGCTTTGGAGCCGACGCGCCATCCACCTGCCACTGTGACACGGGTGCTACACGGGCCGTTCGATGCCACTTGACCTGGCCCTCGGCTGCGAGGCTAGTCGCACCCAACTACGATCGGCGCGACGCTGGCTTGCGCCGAGCGGCGTCGCCATCGTAGGGCTGCCAGCGTTAAATGCAGTTGCCACGCCATATTGTGCTTCGGTAGACGCTCATGCGGCGCCACATGCGACGAGCAGATGGACATTCAGCGATGGTCCACGTCATGGGCGTAGTGTATGCAGACGGCCCCACGCTTGCCCTTGTCGATACAAATCGCGAAATGACCCAATCGTAGAGTTGCGTGCGACTAGCGACCACTGTGGGCTGCCATGGGCCGTTCGAGAACCTGGATCTGGCCTTTCCGTCGGTGATGCGGACAGTGTGGCAAGGTCCATCGCTGGCGCGTCGTTCTGGCGATGCCTGGTGCCTATACACGCGAAGTAACAGTTCGCTCGGACGAGCTCTCGATGGACGACAAGCGCAGCCGACAGAGCAACACGTGCTGCTACGTAGACAGCAGTTGTCGACCGCGCACGAATCCTCGAGTCGCTGCGACGAGGAGACCGGCAGCGCTTCCGCTTGACCGCCATATTCACGCGCTTGTCGCGCGCAAGGCCGAGGTATTTGTATGCGAGGTTTGATATCCCAGCTCGACGGCCGCTCGACGCAAGGACTTGCACCGCGTGACGACGCTGAAATAGGCCACGCCACGGCGCGCGGCGAATGTGCTCCTGATAAAAAGCCGAGCAGCTCGAGTGACCAAGGCAGCCATGGCGCTGGAGGCCCGAGGACTTCGATGGAGTAGACGTCACGCGCTGGAGCAGCAAGTTTCATCTAGTGCACTACTCGATGTGCATTGCCCGATGTGAGCAGAGGTCGTTTGGTTCGAGGATCGCGTCGTTTGAGGTTGCAGCAGCTCTTGATAGTTGGGTCAAGGGCGAATGTATTCAGCCTTGGTCTGGTGAACTTTCAGGCTGGTGTATCTTGCTTATGCGGTTCGAAACTTGGTCGTCGCGGTGGTCGCTAGCTATTAGCGGAAGGCTCTCGAGCGCTGATGGCAAGTGTGGACTCTGTGAGGATTCTGGTGGCGCTCTGGCCACCTTCCTGGCCGACTTGATGTGTCAAAATGACGGAAATAGTTCCAAGGCGCCGAAAAGGGAAAATACAGGTGTAGGTAGTGATGCAGTTTGTGTGCATCGCTATTAACGTCGCACCGGTACCAGACCTGGGGCGTAAGGTCTGAGACCCATTCAAAGCACATGCCACGGGTCCTTGAGTGCACAACGAGCTGTTAGATCTTACTCCGTGGCGCAGAAGGAACTTCGGTCGCGATGATTCATCCAACAAATGACCAATCACGGTCGTTCTCGCATTGGATTGGCCATAATACCGGATAGATCCTACCCCCACTTTGCCTTTTGCCATGTCAGCGCCCTTTGGCACGGTACTGGGCACGACCGACGGTGGCGTCGAGGTCTACTGCTGCGACTACGAGACGCTCGGCGAGTCGGCGCTAGCGGATCGCAACGACTTTAAGAACGTCGTCGACGGGATCACAACCGGCTACAAGTGGCAGTGCGTCGAGCTCGGACGGCGCTACCTCTTGGTCAACCATGGCGTCGTGTACGACAACATTGCCATGGCGTACGACATCTTCCGCCTCAAGTACGTCCGGCGCGTGGCCGACAATGTGCTCTTCCCGCTTGTGCCTCAAGCCAACGGGGTAGCGACGCGGCTGCCGGCGAAAGGCGCGCTCTTGATCTGGAACCCTCTCGGCAAGTTTGAGCGCACGGGCCACATTGCCGTCATCGTCGGCGCGACGGCCTCGTACACTGACATTGTGGAGCAGAACGTCGACTTTACCGTGTGGCCGGCGGGCCAAACGTACTCGCGCCGGCTGCCGACGACCGTTGACCCAGAGACTGGCGCGATCACGCTCCAGTGCACGCACGACGGGTCGATCCTCGGTTGGACCAGCGTCCACTTCGAGACAGAGTACAACTACGAGGACGTCCCGAAAGCAACGTCCTCGGACTTTACGCAGCACCAGGTGACGCTGACGGAGGCCCACCTCGGCCGGCCGTGGCTCGACCCGTCCCGCCCGTACGTGCAGACGTTTCTCGCGCAGCCGAGCTGGCAGCCATCGTCCGGCGTCTCCGACTACTTTTGCATGAGCCGCCATGGCCAAGCCGCGCTCGAGTACGCGACGGAGCACCTCCACCACATGTTCCTCGACGCGACCGACTTCATTCTGCACCACCAGGACGAGCTAGGGGCGCATTTCCGCATTCCGAGCGCGCTCTGGCCGCGGCTCTGGCACTCGTGGATTCACGCCAAGCCCGACTTTGTCGCGGGGCGCTTTGACTTTACGTTGACCGACGACGGCCTCAAGGTGTACGAGTACAACGCCGACTCGGCGTCGTGTCTCATGGAGTGCGGCTACAACCAAGACGCGTGGGCTTCGCTGGCCGATCTCGACACCATCGGTCGCAGCGGCAGCGATACCCTCTTTGCCAAGCTTGTGGCGACGTGGAGAGCCCGCAACGTCATTGGGCCGCTGCATTTGCTCTGTGACGACGACCCGGAAGAGCTCTGCCAGACGCAGTACATGGCGGCGGCCGCGACCGCTGCGGGTCTCGAGACGCACGTCGTAGTCGGTCTCAACGGCCTCGCACGTGCGGAAAACGACGTTTTGGATGGTGCTGGCAACGTCCTTCGCAATGTCTGGAAGACGTGGGCGTGGCGCACCGCGCTCAACGAGCTCTCGGACGACGAGTGGACCGAGTTTTTGTCGACGGACGGCACCGACGCAATGGGCTGGGTCACGCCCAAGCACTGTCGGCACCGGTACGACAGCATCATGCTAGTCGACGTGCTCTTCAGCCCGAGCATCCGCGTCTTCGAACCGCTCTGGACGCTCATTCCAAGCTCGAAAGCGATTTTGCCCGTTCTCAACACGCTCTACCCGCACCACCCGCTGCTACTAACGTCGTCGTTTGCGCTCACGCCAGCGCTGCAAGCCGCGGGCTACGTCATCAAGCCCGTGGCGGGTCGCGCGGGCGCCAACATCTCGATCGTCGATGCCCATGGTAGTGTTGTGTCGCAGTCGGACGGCCGCTGGAGCAGCGATACGCCCGTGTATCAGGAGCTGGCGCTGCTCCCCAAGCACAACGGCAAGTACGTGCAACTCGGCACGTGGGCGATTGGCGGCGAGTATGGCGGTACGATAATCCGTGCCGACGCCAACAAGATCATGGGCCTCGAGTCGTTCGTCTACGCGATGCGCGTCATCGAGTAGAGTGCCTCGATCGACTGCATAAAAAGACAATATACAAACGAAGAAACGAGTTTGTGAACGCAATGCGGAGGCAAAAGTCGCTTGCTTGCGGTGACCTGTAGGTCTCGTTTCGAGCTGATGACGAATCTGTCTCCACAACTACCGTGACGGACCGCAAATACTAGTAGTACGAGGAGCCACCGCGGACAAGGCTAATTGGAGCGTCGTTGGCGGCCACGAGAGCGTCGTGGTCCAGTTACAGTGCCTCAAGGTTGGACCCAAGGCGACCAACCTCCAAATGCTTGACGTCCGCGTGAATGATGCGATGGGAAATCGTGTCAAAGTGCTTTTGTAATCGATCTTGACAAAAGTTGCGTTCGACCACCGCCGTCGCGCGGTATTATTCACTGCCACCAGTTAAGAGTCTGCCTACATGTTTTTCTGCAACGGGACTTGGTTGTTGGATTTTAGGGGTATCGGATAGTCATGTATGGTTTTTGCCTGCATTTTCACAGTACTGTACTGTCACCACTGGTGACTGCATATTGTACGATGTGCCACCACTCATGTTGCTGGGACTAGACGCGTCTCGATGGTTGGTCGTGCGTATGGGTGGGCGAGGTGTCGGTGCAGCTACTTTGAAAGGAATTCAAGCAGTCGGTGGCGCTCCTTGGACGGAATGCGTTGCCATCGTCTGCCGGCCGCAGGTGCGCGGGGCCGTCTTACGTGTCAATGTTTCGACCTAGAGACAATGTTGATGGAGCGATTCCGCCGGGGCTTGGTCATCGTTGTCATTGTTGTCGTTCGTGTCTGCGTAATGAAGCGATTTGAACGAAGACTGAGCGAGAGATGCACCACTCACTTGTAGAGACGATTTTGTTTGCGTAAAAGCACATAAAACTACCTTTTCAGCGAAAAAGCATTTTCGTTCAAGTCAAGACTACGACCCACCCCTCGTGACCACGGAATCTGAGGGTGTTGGGTATAAGGACCTTGTTCATCTCGACAAACCAGATTGCCGACGACACGGCCCATTAACCCATGGTTTTGGCGATGACGACACATTCGTGTGAAGGCAGTGCTATTTCCTTGGTGCTTACGACACACTCGACTCCGCACACCGAAGCGTTCGGACACAACACCACCCAACATTCGTCTAAAGACCCGAGCGCTTTGGGGTATTTTCGTACAAACGATGGGGCATGGTAGACACATATTGATTCACACGCAAGGCGGCGCAACGAGGGGCTCAGATGGCCAACTCCTCAAGGGTCAGGACAGCGTCTGAGGTGTCTGCTGCTGGTGTCGGCGCCTCGGGCGACCTCGTGGTGGTGTGCTTGGTGCGATGCCGGGTCTTTCGCGAGCCGCTGACGTCGAGCCACCATACGTCGGCCGGCGGAGCTACCCCATGACAGCTCTTGGCCTTGGACACGTGGCGACTGCGTGTCGATGCTGCAGGGTCTCGGCTGCTGCGTCTCGACGCTCGGTGTGCCGACGCCTCTTTTTCCAAGAGGGATGCCATGAGCTTGGCGAGGCGTCGCGACTGGCGCTGGCTCGACGATGGTTCTCGGCCTTGCTCGTAGTAGAGCTGCCACGACGCGTACCAGTGCAGCCACGTCCAGTATTCGGACGCTTCGGATGTACTCTTGCCCGGTAGCAGCAGCTCGGGCGGCGATGACACGGCGCTCCACGGCGGCATCCCCGGCGGGTACACCACTTTCTCACGAGGCTTTTCTCGCTGCACCGCTGTCGCAAGTGGTGGCGTGGGTGTGGTGGCGGGTGCTACAGGGGGCGCTATCGGCGGTGCTGCAGGAGTCGTCGCTACCGAAGTAGCAGCAGGAGGTGTTATTGGGGTGGAAAGTGCTACTGGCGGTGCCACCGGTAAGGGGGCAACCGGAGGAAACTGGTAGGCACACGCCTGCTGCACTGGTGTCGCCATCGGGTAATACATGCACGGGTACATGATTTGGGCAGGCGGCTGCATGTAGGTGGGCACCATCGACTGGGTCGAGAGAACGACTGCCGGCTGCAGCATGGGCTGCGGTGACGGCATGACCAGGGTCGCTTGAGGCACGCTGCGTGGACTCGATACCACGGGTTGACACGAGGTGCTTGGCGGCGCAGCTGTCGTTGGCAATGACGCCGCGGCAAGTCGTGGCCCTTTAACGTCAGCGGCTGGCGTCGTTGGCGGGGCCCTGGACGGAGCTGGCGTTTGCCAGGCGAAGAAGAGCGGCGGTTTCTCGATCGAGTCGTGCATGCGGCTGCGCCGCAGGCTACTGCGGTGCCCATTCGTGTGCGACGCAACGCCTGCAGGCTCGTTGCGCCGACTGCCCATGACGACGACTGTTTCAGATGCGTGGTCGCCCCCGTTCCCCTAGTCCTAACCGTCTTCTGGCCACGGGTTCGAGACCCGGCAAGGTTCACAACATGACGTAATACCGAGACCAGGTATACAATGTGTGTATCAGCCAAGAAGGACCATGGAAATGGAGGCAAACACGATTGTACATGACAGTCCGATACCCGTAGAATCCAAGCATTCAAGTCATTTAGCCGAAAAGCATGCTAGGAAATGCAAGAGTCTTTGTCTACGCCGAGGTGGACGCGTCGTCGTCCAGCACGCGCATGGGGTAGATGGGCGACTCGAAGCGGATGATGTTGGTCGGGTCGGCGCGGACGACCGCGCCACCGTAGACGCCTCCGATGGCCCACGCGCCGAGCTGGACGTACTCGCCGGCGTACTGCGGGAGCAGTGCGATCTCCTGGTACACGGGCGAGTCGTCCGTCCAGCGACCATGCGACTGCGACAAGACCGTGCCGTCGGCGCCGACCACCGAGATATTGGCACCCGCGCGGCCCGTCACGGGCTTGACTACGTACCCGGACGCTTGCAGCTCGGGCGTGAGCTCAAACGACGACGTCAATAAGAGCGGGTGCTTGGGATAGAGCTTGGTGAGTACGGGCAAAAATGGCCTTCGAGCTCGGCAAGACGGTCCAGAGCGGCTCGAAAATGCGGATCGCAGGGTGTAAAAGCACATCGACGAGAAGAATGGTCGTCGTGCCAGCGCGCTCGCGGTACTTGGGCGTCGCCAACGCCTTGGGGTCGACTGCGTCGTCCTCAAAGAGGTACCCGGCCCACTCGTCGTCCGAGAGCTCGTTGAGCGCGGTGCGCCACGCCCACGTCTTCCAGACATTGCGAAGGATGTTGCCAGCCGCGTCCAAAATATCGTGGCCGCTGCGCTGCAGGCCGCCTAGACCCACGACCACATGCGTCTCGAGGCCCGCGGATGTCGCGGCCGCCGCCATGTACTGGGCATGGTAGATCTCCTCCGGCTCGTCGTCGCAGAGCAAGTGCAGCGGACCAATCACGTTGCGGGCAGTCCACGTCTCGACGAGTTTGGAAAAAAGTCCGTTGCTGTTGCTATGGCCGGGCAGCCCCAATAAAGACGCGAGCGCGTCCTGCGTGAGGCCGCACTCGAGGAGGCACGACGCCGAGTCGGCGTTGTACTCGTACACCTTGAGGCCGTCTTGCGTCAGCGTAAAGTCAAAGCGCCCTGCGACACAGTCGGGCTTGCGCCGGAACCACGACCGGCGAATGCGCGGCCAAAGCTTTTGCGGGATGCGGAAATGCGGACCGAGCTCCTTCTCGTGGTGCAAGACGTAGTCGGTCGCGTCGAGAAACATGTGGTGGAGGTGGTCGGTCGCATACTCGAGCGCGGCCTGTCCGTGCGACGTGAGCGTAAAGTACGGCGATTTGCCTTCCGTGAGCACTGCACCCGGCGTCGCAAGGAACGTCTGTACGTACGCAGCAGTCGGGTCGAGCCACGCAGCCGCAGCGGCCGCCGCCGACACGATGATCTCGCGTCGGCCAAAGTCGCTGGGCGTCGCCAGCATGACGTCTTCGTAGTTGTACTCGGTCTCCATATCAATGGTCATCCAGCCGAGGATCGACGAGTCGGGGTACGAGCACACGATCGTGTACGCGCCCGAGTCTTCGTCGACGACGGCCTGGAGCCGGCGCGAGTAGGTTTGGCCGGCGGGCCACACCTCGTCGTCCACGTTCTGCTCGACAATGTCGACGTAGTCGTTCTCGGCGTGCACGATGACCGCGATGTGGCCCGTGCGCTCAAACTCGCCCACGGGGTTCCAGATGAGGAGCGAGCCCTTCACGGGCAGCTCCGTGGCCTCGCCGTTGACGTTCGGGTGCATGGGCACGAGTTGGTCGTCCTCGACGCGCCGGACGTTCTTCAGGCGAAAGATGTCGTACGCCATCGCGATGTTGTCAAAGACGACGCCAAAGTTGACGAGCAGGTACCGCCGCCCGAGCTCGACGCACTGCCACTTGTAGCCCGTCGTGATCCCGTTGTGCACGCTCTTGAAGTCGTCGCGGTTGGCGCGCGCGTCATCTGAGAGCGTCGTGTAGTCGCAGCAGTAGACGTGGACGCCGCCGTCCGTGATGCCGAGGAGCGTCCCGAACGGGACGACCGGCGCGACCGGCAGTTCCATCGGCCACAACAAGTGCAAACTGCCAGCGTAGGGTCGCGTTTCACATGGCATGTACCGAAAATAGCCAATTTTAAACACCATTTTTAATCCCATATGCCAAAGTTACCACATTCAGTAGCCCACCGAAATCGGCAAGATCCAAGCGGCCGGGAGGATGGCGCGCGGCTCGCAAGAGACGCATGACGGGACAAAGGTCTTTCATCTGTCGCATAGTAGATCAAGCTGTTTGGCTTGTCCGGGCCGTTCTGCAGCGCGTCGCTGGCATTCGAATCGACGTGGGCGCAACGAGATACGAGATCGTTGACGTCCTCCAAAAGAGGATCGCCCAGCGCGACGACCATGGTACAAATCATAATTTTGTCATCTCGTCGGTTGTGAACGAGGGACAAGCACGAACAGCCTTCATCTTGGCACGCTGACCGTGAAGAGATGGAATGCATCGTGGCAGGGTCGCCTTGGTTGCGAATGCGCTGTGATTCGTGGATTTCCACCAATCGCATAGCAGTACAATCTGTTTGGCCAATCAAAAGCGGCGGAATGGCTACGAACCCCATGCATTTCGTCAGTGGCAGACTCGTGGGCAGGCCATGTACCGCCGACTGCTGGCGTCGCACCCGCTACTGACCAAGTCGGTGACGACAGGCGCTATCTTTGGCGTCGGCGACGTCATCGCCCAGAGCCTCTTCCGCGACGAGGACGAGGCCTTCTCGGCCACGCGCCTCGGCATGACGTCGCTGTACGGCCTCGCGTTCCAAGGCCCGCTCCTGCACGTGTGGTTTGGCCGGCTCGAGGCGCTCTGGCCAGTCACGAACGCCGTGAGCATTGCCAAGAAGATGCTCGTCCAGCAGTTTGCGTTCGCGCCCATCAGCATCATGGCCTTTAACTCGTACGCAGGGTGCATCCCGACCCGCCATGTACGCGGCGTCGATTGCTTCTGCGTTCTAATGGATGCGATTAGGAGGCGCGGTCGCTCGAAGACCGGTTCGCTTCCGGCGTCGACAAGGCGCTGGACCGCGCGCCCTCGATCTGGATGGCGGGCAACTACTTTTGGATTCCCATGAACATTCTCACGTTTGGCTTTACACCCTTGCCGCTCCGGCCGCTCGTCTCGAGCAGCGGCAACATTGTGTGGTCGTCGTACCTCAGTTTTCGCGCCAACGAAGCCAACGTCGTCGCGCTCTCGCCCGAGTGCAGTCCGCTGTCCGTGCAATAAGCGTATGTATCAGCTTTTGTTTATATACATATCCGTGCTATCCAATGGTTCCACGGTGTGCACGCTCGGCGTCGACGGCGGGCGATGGTGCTTGCTACCACACGACAAGCGACTCGACGGCGTCGGTCTCTCATGGCCGGGGCGAGCCCAGCGATGCGTGCTGCGCCGCTCTCTCGATCCGGGCGACAAGGATTCGCAGCTTGGCCTTGTCGTCGGGCATGGCGTCGTCGCAGCCGCTGCAGACAGACGAAAGCATCGGGTTGAAGGTGTCGCAAAACGCGCACGCGAGCTCGTCATCGATCGCCGCGCCGTCGACGCGCTTGAGCAAAATGGCGAGCTTCGTTGCGGCTGACGGCAACGGCTCGTCGCAGGCGGTGCAGGTGTCGGAGGCCATGGCATTCGGGGTGTTGCACGACTGGCAGCGCATCTCGGTGAGCTCCATGGGCACCGCTTTTAGCGACTAGAGGAGGATCGTACGTCATTAGGACACATTATTGTGCACGGTGGCGCATGTACCGACGTGCTGGACGGCGGCGAAGACCGCGACGACGGCGCCGACAACACTCGTTGTTTGGCGTCCGTGAGGAGCGCGACAACATGTGCTTGGTTGTTGGCAGCGGCGGCCATGATCGGTGTCACCCCATTCTAGCAACGTGATCAATGCCATGTCCTTTTCAAGCGACGTGCGTACGTTGTCAGCCTTGTCGAGCTCGGCGTGGGCGTGCAAAAGCCACGGAATCACCGCCGCTTGGCCCGTCTCCGCCGCCACAAACAGCGGTGTTTCTCCTCTCTAGACGAGTTCCGTCTCATGTGAGAAAAACCCATACGAAGGAGCATGCATCGTGCACTACTACCTGGGACGACTGGTTCACATTAGCGTTGGCGGTCAAGAGCATGCGCACGATACTCACGTGGCCGTGCTGCGCAGCGTAGGCCAGCGGCGTCGACCCAAGCTACTCCGTTGCATGAGCGCATGGATGCGCGAAGGATGCGTACCGCCGTCGCCTGGTTGACGTTGGCTTTCGCCGCCAAGAGCATCTCGACGATGCGGTCAAAGCCGCCATTGGCCGCGATCAGCAGCGGCGTCCATCCGTCCTATCGCCATGGATGCTGCATTCGATGACAGACGTGCGATCAAGGGTACGTAGCGCGCTTGGTTGACATTCGCCTTGGCCTTGAGAAGGAGGGCGACGACGTCGGCATGGCCGTGCTGCGCCGCCATCGAGAGCGCCGTCACGCCGCCCTAAAATAAGATACATGCATCGAGGAGGTGCATGGAAGATGGCGATGGCACTACCTCGGCTGGGTGGTTGACGTTGGCGTCGGCGGCGACGAGCCACTCGACGATCTGGACGTGGCCCTTGTCGGCGGCGACGAGCAGCGGCGTCGCGCCTTTCGCGTTGGCATAGGCGTCGGGGTTGACGCCGGCGGCGAGCAACGCCTTGACCTCCTTGTTGTTGCCGTGGAGTACCGCTTGGTACAGCGACTAGAGCACTGTGAAGCAATAAAGACAGAGAGGCCGACGCACCACGCTGCTCATGAACGAGCCCATCGCTCTTCGTTGTTTGCCTCGGCAGTAGTCAACAGCAACTGGCTCGGTGGGTGCTGTCACGAAACACATTGAAGGCAATTGCGACGGCTGGGTGCGCGAGATTGTGGACAAGCAGCTTCCATCCGCTTCAACACAACGCATCGTTGCTACCTCTATCAACCGCGCGCTAGCGGTAGCACCACCAACCTTGGTCGCATCCTACGATTAAAACGTCGTCCGAGCTGTTGCCAACCATGTCTGACGCGCCAGAGGGCGGTTGCTGACGCGCCGGCCATCGCGACAGCTGGCATTCGCGTCCCACAGACCCCTCTCACGCGCCCCGAGGTGCCCCATCCAAACATCCGCTGGGCACGTTGCTGTCCATGCTTGCATCGGCCTCGTGAAGTCCACCAGCTCCAATTCCTTCTGGTGCACTATTTTCGAGATCTTAAACATGTCGCCAGGCCATGAAATGTCCAGCAGAGGTATGTACTATGTGCTTCTGCTTGCTACTGAAGAAGCTGAGCGATGTCGCCATACAGTGCACATGGAGTAGCTAGGCTCGGATCGGATATCAAGAGAACGTTGGAGAGCCTCCGAGGTAGTAGCGCGTAAGCTCGTTGGCGTCGAACGAGTTCGTCCCGTACAAGCCACGACGTCTCTGCCCATGGCTTTCCTGGACGAGCCATGGCCATGCTCATGCTCTGGTCACCCCACGTTGATGCACTGAAGAAGCGCCATGGGCCAGCCCATCAGGACGACGCATCGTCTTCGAAGGCGACCACCTTCAAGGTCGCCGACCACTGCAACCCTCGCACTGGCCTTTTTCTGGTATTAAAAAAGATACGCGAAGATCGCAATTCGGAAAGTGCGAGCCAGTCGACAAAACCACCTCCGGACGACATGGGCACTGTACGTCCTCCCCATGGCGTCGACGCTGCTCCTGACGCGCGTGGTGTGCTAGGGCCTCTCGAAGCTCTTGAGCGCCGCCGCGGCCGGCCAGCACAAGGAAGTCCAGAAGCTCGTCAAGCGCGGCGTCGACGTCAACGCCCGCACGGACGAGGTTGTGTGATCCGATCGTGGGCTGGGTGCTGCACGCGACGCGTAGAATGGCACGACCGCCTTGTACCGCGCGGCGGCCAACGGCCACATTGGCGTCGTCAAGCTGCTCCTCAACGCGAGCGCCGACGTCAACAAGCCCAACGACGTACGTACTACACATCCAACTGCAACCACCTTGCATTCACGACGCGATCTAGATGGGCGAAACACCGCTGTACGAAGCGGCCGCCCAAGGCCGCGCGTCCATCATCGCGATGCTGCTCGACGCTGGCGCCGACGTCAACAAGGCCGATCTCGTACGTTGCGATGCGTTCGAACGACCATGCATGCGACCGCTTGGTGACATGTAGGAAGGCACGACGCCGCTGTGCATTGCCGCCGAGCACGGCCATGTCGACGTCATCCCTCTCTTGCTCCGCGCCGGCGCAGATGTGCACAAGACGAGCATCGTACGCATCCTCGTCGTGCTTACTACGACGGCAGCCTCACTGCAAGTAGAATGGCGCGTCGGCGCTGGCGCTGGCCGCGAGCAACGACCATGCGTCCGTCGTGCAGCTCTTGCTGCGTGCCAACGCCGACGTCAACGGCAAAGACAGCGTATGGCGTTGCCTCGACGTCATGACAGAGGATGATGACAGGGTATGTTGGCGTAGGCGGGCGAAACACCACTCTGCCGCGCCGCCGCGCGAGGGCACGTCGGCGTCGTCCGCGTGCTCCTGACGGTGCAAGCGTGGATGCTGCGCAGCGTAGCCATGACACTCCGAGAAGACTCAGATCTCTCACGACGAGCGAGTAGGACATGTGCCGCGCTGTGACGTACGCCGCCCGCGCCAACCACGCGGCCGTCGTCGACGCCCTCTTGCTGGCCAATCCGAGCGTCGACGGCGAGCCCAAGGTCCGTCATTGACGTTGTTTCTGGCTCACACATTTGTGCGTAG